CTGTGAGTATTCTCAGCTAAGCAATTTTATCTCTTAATCTAGGTCAATGTGGTTTTATGCAAGATGGGACTTTCCCTTAAAATAAGAGGATTCTGGTTTTATGCAAATTAGCCCCATAAGGCAGGCAAGGTCACAAGACTTCATCTTCATCTTGAAACCTGCTGTCAGTGCTGAGGCTACATATTGGAGCATGTATTTGAATATATGTAGGAAGCCTCTCTGTTACCATGTGTCATGAGGGTACCACATGCAACTCTAGGACAGGATTAAATGGACATTGATGCACATTGCAAAGAGGCTGCAATCTTTGCAGTCCAGGAGGCTCTGTGTTGGACTGCAACTTCAGCATCTTTATCTCTGCCATAGCAAAGTCTCCTGTGCAACTTAGGAAGTCTTGTGCCAAGTCAAAGCCTTGGTCTTTCTTGCCCAATACTGTTGACACTGACTGGCAGCAGCGCTCTGGATCATCAGGCAGACTTCTTTCCAAGCTGTACTGGGAGACTGTGCTGAGGATTGAACCAGAGACCTTCTGCATGGGATGCACGGGCTCTGCCCCTGAGCTATAACCCTTAACATGTTCATGGTGATATGAGCACATGCTTTTCCTTCCCTACCTGCTTATAATTGCACTTCTGTCTGGAATTCAGAATATTTGGTTGGTGACCTTACCTTTAAACATCCGTGGCTACTAATAGACTGAAAAGGTGGTCAGAGGAAAGGTTTGCCTTTGAAATCTATCTCTGTGCATAGATTAAATTCAACATGATGCAATCAAATCTCTCATCACCTCTGCTAACCCCCACATTTGTTTCAGAGGGTCTCCAGAAATAGATTTGGGGGAACAGCCTGCAGGGTGTTGTAGGAAGAAGGGAGATGCATTCCACCAGTGGCTTCTGTTCTGCTGGCCCAGAGGTGGCTTTGGTCATGCCCCTCTGACTTAATGTTTTAGGGCATGGGTTCTCAAACTACGGCCCGTGGGCTGGATACAGCCTGCCATGGGCATTTACCTGGTCCGCCTCAGAAAATGATCTCCAAGCAGGTCCAAAAGCTCTGAGCCAGCGCAGGTGTTCTCTGAAACTGAGCAGAGAGCTGGCGCACATGCCAAATTGTAACAGCTCCTTTCAACTGCCCGTGTGCTGACTCGTGTCCGCTCCCCCCCCCCCCATTGCACACATATACAGAGCGGGAATACAGAGTGGGAAACAAGAGAGGAGGGCAGAAGAGAGAAAGAGATGATGACACTAAAAAAGGATTGAAGGTAAGAAAAATATAACTTTTTAAATCTATTTTTAATTAAGTGAGCCATGTCCCTGGGCTGTGGGCCAGTGGGGAGAGGCAGGAGGCGCCCCGCTCAGCCAGCTGCTGCCCCATTCCTCACCTCGCCTTGCCTCGGAAAGCAACCATTACCTCTCTCCTTGTGGCCCTCTCCTGGCCAGGGGAGCCACCCTGCGCTCGCCTCTCCAGCCTCCTGCTCCCGCTCTGGCTCCCTCGGAACCAGGGCGGTGACGAGGTCTATAATTTCCATCCTGCCCAACCAGCATGGCCAATTGAAGTTGTAGTCCTACTCATCTAGACAGTACCAGTTTTGGCAAGGTTGCAGTAAAACATGGTAGTCATTAGCTCTGCATCCAAATACAGCCATTGTATATTGTGGGAATTGTTCTGGGCTGACTTGCTTCAAATACTAAGAGTGGCATTAACAGTATTTATTCTTAGTATTTTTGCTTCATTCTTTGTAAATGCCAGTTGCAGTCATCAGCTGCTTTATGCAAAATACTATATTTATGGTTGTGTTGTAGCTATGTCCCTTGAATATGGACATGCTCTTCCCCACATCATCTTGGGCCTCTGCTGCAGCCTGAGGGAGTGGAGCAGACATTTTTTAATTTTTCAATTAATTGTTTAATGTGAAGTGTGCATAGGAATTCATATTTTTTTCAAAGTATAGTCCAGCCCCCCAACAGTCTGAGGGATAGTGAACTGGCCCCCTGTTTAAAAAGTCTGAGGACCCCTGCTATACAGCAAAGTGGTTGATGTATCAGCCGTAGCTGATAAAATCTCACATGCTCCCCAGTAGATGGCATCAGGTTCAGGAGAACTCTCAAGCTGTACACTTGCTTACAAAAAATCCAGTTCTTTTGGCATCGACAGGAGTGTGGGTGGAACAGTATGGTATCCCCGAATCCCGTTTGAGGGTTGGGGAGGTCATGTGTGGTGTGGGGAAAGGGCTGTTCAGCAAGGCCAAGTGGCTGCACCTTATCCATGCCTGCAGCCCTTTTGGCTATGGCAACAGGGAGGACCCAGCCACACTGCTTGCCTGTCCCTAAAGGAGCGTAACCAGAATGACCTCGCATCCCCATGATTGTTTTCTCCTTTTTGCACTGTGGATTGGGGGGAATGGGAAAGGAGGCATCTCCTCCCTGTTGCCTGGTGGACCTGCCATTCAGCTGAGTGGTGGCTCCACTGGGTGATGGGAGGCATGAGGTGCCTTGGCCTTTCCCAGGGGTAAGGTACTGCTCCAGTCTACCATTACATACCCCACTTGGGATCTGAACAGGGAGGTGCAGCAGACACCAGCTCACCCACTTCCTGCTTGGAGTGACACAACACACCTACAAGAGCTGAGGGACTGCAGGCAGGGCCAGTGCCTTTGGTTGGACTTCCTCTCAGAAGAAGCAAAATATGCCTCCTGCAGCAGTCATGTTGGGGCAATTGTGGCTGAGGGCAGCATGCTTGACTGTGTCTCCCTGGAAGGAGGCCCAGCCAAAGGCACTCCCTCCCACTACATGAAGAGTCTTCTCTCTTGGCATAAATGGGAACATGAGGCAGGGAAGCTGATGATGGCTGCCCAGAGTGCTGATTGGTGCTCTGTGCAGCTGTCACCCTGCTTCCACTTTATTCAGTATGCCCTGGGGTACCAGCTGGAGCACTGGATGGGGGGAAAGGAAGTACCCTGCCTCACTGTGCCTGCCAGGCTGGGTGGCTCATGCCCCCTCCTTGCCTGGCAGAACTGGTGCCTCATGCCCTGTTCTTTCCACCAGGGAAAGGGGAAATAGGACAGGGTGTGTTGAGATACTGGGCATGCCTTCCCTGAAAGGAAGACAGAGCAGCTTGTTCTTTCTTCAGTTTCTTAGCCTTGCTTCCTCTTAAGTAAGACATCCCATTTAGTTGGTTTTCCTGCTGTATGCTGTTTCCCCAGGCCCCAAACAGGGTTGGAGTGGGTGGCACATGGTGTTCCCCTGCAGTTTCCCTCCTGTACTCCTGATGCTTTCCATATGGGAATGGCAAGCTTGCAGGGGGAACTGGTGACAGCCATGGTAAAGTGCTGCTGAGGCATTTTGCTAACTAGCATTATCTAGAGTGCCTTAGCCAAAGTGGCAGTGCTTTTTTGCGGCTGTGGCCAAGGGGCTCACTAGTCCTTTGGCTTGGCCATAGCTTAGCATGTTGCCTGGGCTTGGACATCACACTAAGACATGGAGAGTTTCCTAATCCCCCTAACAAGCCATGGCGAGTTGGGTGGTTTATAAATCATTGTGTTTCTCATCCATGAGGTTGACTCAGAAGTAGAACTTCCCAATCCATTGCATCCCTATAAATGTGTTTGACTGGAGTAGATTCACAAATTAAACCCCCCATCATCAAAGCCATTCCAGTTGAACCTGACAGACAGAATTTTAGGGGCTGCAACTAGTTGGTGGGGACAATTAAGTTGTCATTAAAGGGGCACACAATTGCCCTCTGCCCTGCCCTAGGACTTTAAGACAACAGGATATGCTCATAGGTTGTGTCTTCCTTCCAATTGCTATGGTTGTGTTTTCTTTGCTGTGCCCTATTTCTTCGGGACCACGAGCCTCTAAATTTAGCTGCTTCCTATTTACCATTCAGTCATGAAACCTACAAGGAGGAAGCCTATTAGGGAGCAGCAGCAAACATACTCTAGGCTAGACAAGGTCTTAAGCTGGACCTATGAGGTACATGTTTAACTTTCTTAAGGCCCAGGAAGGGGAGGTACTAAAATGAAGGACAAGGTTGACCCTTGTAAACAATGGCAACTATTGAAAGGTCCATTGGAAATAATGGAACTTTGAGATCCTCCATGGCAGCTCTCACCAATCTGGTGCCCTCAGAATGTGTGGGGTACGATGCCCATCACCAGAAAGTGCCAACTACAAATGGGGTACCATGAAAGCAAGCAATGTGGATTATGAAAGGAAATGTCATGGGCCACAGGAGTTGAAATGAAATTGCACTGGTTTATCTTTTGTCAGTTTGCTTTCATATGATCCCATCTCAGTCATTATGTCTCTTCTAGGCCTGTCATTCCAACCCCAAGGACCTTCATTCCACTTCCAGGACCCAAGGGACCATTACTGTGTTTCTGTCTCTCATGGCCTGTCATTGCACTTCTCCATCTTCTGTCCCTGTCAGTATAGGTAATGATTGTTTGTTTAAAGAAACAGTCCTATAGATTGTGCCCTCAATAAGTGGAAGACTTATTCAGAGGCTTCTAGTTGTCTGGTGCAAGGTGCGGGGAGGAACAGAGGTGAACTCTGTTCTTCCATCTTTCTACTCTGATTTTTTTTTCTGGATAGGTTGCTTTGGAGAAGGAGGCTATCAGAGGCTCAGGATAAATAATAGTCTGGCCTCTCTGCTTTCCTTGCCTACCAACCCCCCCCCCACCTTTTCCTTCAGCACACTGCTTGGGGTGAGGGGCAGCCAGCTGGCACAATTCTTCTTGCACCAGCTGTGAAGGGGGCAGGCCGACTTCTTCTGAGCGTGGGATGCTGACTTTAACACCAGTGGGGGATTCCCAATATTCTTTCTGGGGGCCATAGGATTGCTTCCTAAATTACTTCTAAAATGCCTTTAACACCACACATGTAACATTTCAAAAGAGACAGCACAAGATATACCATTTCTATTATCTCTGTGGCCAGAATACCTTAAATTCATATTAAATCATACATCAAGATGAAGATTCAGAGTAACAAAACAGGAAGACCAGTAAAACTATTGAATTTTATTTCACTTTCTAAGGCCTATTTAATTTCTTTTCAGAATCCTTGCCTTACTTGCATTGGCCATCATTTCAAACGTGCATTGATTGCAGTGAAACTCAGTTATATCGACAGACAATCGCAACTTCTAGTACTCCCCGTGCGCTTTCTGATTGCAGCCACTGTTCCGAGGGTCACCCTCATCTTCGTTTTAGCCTATCCTCCCTGGGAAGACGGAAAGAAAACGTTCATGCACCGGTGGATGTGGGATCTGGCCGCTACTCGCTGGAGCCTCGGCGTCTTGCACACTGCCTAGCGAGCGTCGCGTCCTCCTGGGTCGAGCGCCGACTGCGGCTCGCCTAATGCAAGACAGTTGTGCCGTTGCTGTCGAGAGCTCTTCAGCTTCGTACTCTGGTTCGGCAAAGTGAACACGAATCAGTGCGCTGTGGGAAAGCTCGCCCAAAAAGGGTGTGTAGGACTGGAAAGAGAAGCAGTTTGATATCTATACAAGTTAGACATCAATTCCCCCCCTCCCTCGGCTCTCTTGCTCACCATTTGGCAATTACTGGAGTAAATACCGAAACTGGAAGTTGAGCTTGAAAGCTACAAAACTGCACTGCTTTCTGAGAAATGGACTTCGGCCCTTTTTGAAACAAAGAAAAAAAAAATCTCGCTTTCATTTCTACAGGCAAACTGCCGTCGTGCGGGAGTGACACACTAACCTACCTATCTTTCCCGGGCCACCTTTAAAAAGGGCTTGTTTCGAAGAGTCAGGAGCGTTGTAAACGGGGCGGCACCCACTTCTTGAACCAATGGCGCACCGCCTCTATTTAAATAGACGGGCTGTGTCAATCAATTTCTTCTCCGTCAGCCTCCCTTCAATCGCCATATTGGGCAACTGTGTGAAAAGAGACTCGTCTTTTCTCCCCCCTTCCCATTCCCCTACTTGTTCCCCCCCCCCAACCTTAATTAAAACACACACACACACACACACACACAAAGAAAAGGGGGGAAAGACCCCCCCAGCAAAACTCTACTGCAAAGCGTTGACAACGGAGCAGGGCTTTGCAAAAGCGCAGTTGGCAAACGAAGGATCCGCACGGGTAGCATCCATTCACTTTCGCTTGGAGAAAAAAGAATTATATGCATTTGTTTCAGAGTAGCTTCTGTTGTTATTTCTTCCCTTGCCTTCGATCCTTTCTTTTCTCCCAACCCTCAGTTGGTACACTGCTCTGCAATAAGACAAATTCTGCTTGAACATCAGGGAGGTTTCGCCCCCTCTCCCCTCCCCACCCCCTCTCCTTTCCCCTCCCCGTCTCTGGCTTATGCAAGGATTTGGTGGTGGGGTGTTTTGTTTTTTTTGTTTTGAAGTTTTTCCTCTCCACTGGGGTCGAGTTTAAAGACGGCTTTTTTAACCCCTCTCTCTTTCCACAAGATCGAGGGTGGGGGAACATATTTTATTATTTTTAAAGACGCCGCTTCAACCAACGTAGACAGCAAAGAAGGCTGGAGACAACTAAGGCGATGTCCAACGTACGGATCTCGAATGGAAGCCCTACCCTGGAGAGGATGGAAGCCAGGCAGGCGGACTACCCCAAGCCCTCTGCCTGCAGGACCCTCTTCGGCCCTGTGGATCGCGAAGAGCTGGCCAGGGAGCTTCAGCAGCACAGCCGGGACCTGGAGGAGGCCAGTCGAAGGAGGTGGAATTTTGACTTTTACAGTTACCAGCCCCTGGGAGGCAGGTACGAGTGGCAAGCCGTGGGCCAGGATACCCTGCCTGAGTTTTACAGCAGACCCCCGAGGCTGAGCAAAGCCCTGGCCAAGTCCGCTAGCCAGAAGCCGCACTTCGGGGGTTTGGACGTCAACGGCAACTGCTCCTCAGCGGGATTTATACGCTCTCAGGGAAGCTCTGATGAAGAGGACGTTCTGGGTCCCGAGCAAAAGACTGAGACAGCGGGACCTCAAATGGATTTAGCGGGCCAGAGCGCTGGGCAAAGGAAACGACCTGCTTCGGATGGTAAAGTACCTTCGGCCCTTCTTCCCTTAAACAAAGCATGCCATCTCTGTGTGTTGTTTTTGTAGTCACGTTAACAAGGGGGAGACCTCCCTGTAAGACGAATGGTCCTGTACCTGAGCAGTAGCTTAAAAAATCAGCAGACACTCGCACTTGAAGAGACCGCAAGAACGGCCTGGCTGGCTTGGAGCGAAGGTCTGGTTTAGTCCAATATTCGGACTCCAAGAGTAGCCAGTCGGACACCTTGGTAAAGCGCATGCGGGCATGAAGATGGGGACTTGCTCTGTGTCTGTCCCCAGCCACTGGAATCTGCAGATATACTGCTTCTGTACATGGAGGCTTTCTTCGGCTACCATAGCTGGTAACCACCAAAAGACCTAGCCTTCATGTGCTTCTCTAATCTTTTTTTTTTTTTTTTTAACCATCTAAGCCTGTTGCTTAGGCGAGGAAAAGCATACTCTACACCTTGGTTGTAAGCTGATTGTATTTGGAAGCAAGCCCCAGTTATTTTTTTGATGTTATGCATTCTCTGTATAAATCAGGATAACACATTGTATTAGGGCATCATATAATACATTCTCCCAGCAACGAGGCTGTTGCTGTTTGGGTCTCTTTTTGAAGACTGTAGTCCTTAAGATAGATTGTATGTGTGATGGGTGGTGGGTGGTAGGAGTGGTGTGAAGTCTGCCATAAAGCAGTGCAGCCACTCCAACAGTTTCAGTTAACTTAAGGATTGTAACCCAAAGCTGTCAGATGAACTTGATGGTTCCATTCAAGTCAGCAATACTGACTATCAAATAAAGTGTGTTCTGGATTTATCTTGATGGATGCAAAGGCTGCAAACTTCTAATGCCAGATCCGCTTATTCTGGGGAAATCTAAAATTGCCAGCAGAACTGCTCTAGAATAAGTGGTTTGAAGATTACTGCCTGTCATCACAGAAATAAAGAAGGTGAAAGGTTGGAACCCAAAGCTAATCTGACTTGGGGCTCCTCCTGCCAGTAACCCAACCTTGTATTTAAAAAGATATAGTTTCTGATGCAAGAAATGGTGAAAGAGACTGCCAATGATCAGTATACTCAATTTAGCTGTCTTATCTTTCATACAAATGGTGGACAACTCAAGGACTGCCTGCTATATTTCCTCCCACCCCACTTGACTGCCATCTTCATATGTAGCACGGCACCTGGCAGCAAGTTTGTATTTTTAATATTGTGCTTCTCCTCCCCCTTTTATTTAACCCCCCTCCTAGATTCCTTTCCTCAGAACAAAAGAGCCAACATGACAGAAGAGGTGATTTCAGAAGACGCTCCCAGTGCCAGTTCAGTGGAACAAACACCCAAGAAATCCAGCCCAAGGCGGTGTCAGACGTAAATTGTTTATTAGGTGGGTTTCCTTTCCTGTGAGTTTTTGGTTGAACTTATTTAGCTAGCAGAAAATGTGGGGCTTTCAGAAAGGATTCTTCAATACCTGTATACATTAACCTTGTTGCTAAACCCTTATAATTTGAGCAGAGGAAATTTGTTGGCTGCAATGGTAACTTCAGAACAGGTCTCATCTGTCATATTTTGCAATCTTAAGTATACCTGCAGCCTCATCCAAACTTATTCAGAAGTAAATTCCACAGATTTCAATGGTAGTTCAATTTGAAAGTAAAATTACACCAAAATCAGTACAACACAATTACAGCTGCAGTCATATGCAACTTTACTTGGGAGTAAGCCCATGTGAATTTTATGGGACTGACTTATGAGTAAATATGCATACAACCAGGCTTCACAGTTACTCTTTGGGTGCTATTCACATGTATTAATGTAAATGTACCAAAGATATTTGTTCTTTTAATCATGATTTTACTCTGCCCTGAACTGCAAGAAACCATGAATATTTAAGGACAAAGTGGAAGGAAGGCCCTTTTATGCCAGGACTGTCTTTTTCTCCTAAAAGATTCTTCCTCAAATATATACTGTAATTTAGGGGTAGTTTTCCAGAGCAGGAGTGCTGAAAGGAAGTTGACAAATGATCTGTAAATGAGTAAAAGAGATTGTTTGAACAAACCCATCCTGCTGGGGTGAGCAGGGACACGTGTGCAAATTCATCTACTACTGACTGTTTACTTGGGTATTTGAAAAGGAAATGAAAGCTCATGTGTGGACCAATAGCAATACAGAGAAAACAGGGCAGCGTTTTCCATCATTGTGTTTTCAATGCCTTCCTCATTCCCAGAAAATTGCTGTGTTGCACCAGATTTAGCAGTGCCTCTCCAAAATGTAGTTGTGCTCTATCTGCGGCCTTGCCAAATTTTGATTTGAAAAATATTGCTTCTTTGAATGGGTCCATTGGTCTTGAACAGATAGGAAAGAATTTTTTCCTACTACTTGGTTGCTGTCATCTCTTATAAAATTGTATATTTCAAGTTACCTTGGAAGCAGGGGCATGTCTCATTTGCTAACAAAACTCCTATCAAGTGACATGGACACAATATTGAGGTGTGGAAAAATAAATAAAAACTTGAGTGAATGTAGTCAGAAGTGAGACAGTCCACTGATGGGTGTCATCTGACAGAATCTATAGGCTTCTTGAATTTTTACCCAACAAACATGAGTGCATTGCCCAAAGTAGTGAAGTCAGATAAGTCTTAGGTGACACTTGTATACTTACTTATTTTACACAATGTTTCTGCCACCACACTGAAAGTTACACCTTCAGCAACAATGTTGGCCAGCTGTGAGTTTGTGAATTTGTTTGTACTTTTAATCATGAAAAAAGCTATTGTAGCCTTCCTCACTGACTTATCCATGCTCTCTTCCTTAATTTCAGAATTAAGAACATTTGTTTCCTTGTTCTTTGGAGGCATCGGGTTCATGAAGCAAGGAAGATGCAGAGTGTGAGTGTGTGTGTGTGTGTGTACAAGCGTGTGTATATGAGAGAAAGAAAGAGAAAACATATCACTGATTCTCCATGGGATGGAGAACTCATACAAGCACTGAAACAAACCTATAATTGAGTAACACTAAAGTCAGGCACTCTTAAAAGATCTGCCTCTTAAAGCATTGGATGTAGCATTCTGCAATTAGGTTTTTCCTCATTTGCTTCATTGTACTACCTGTGTATATAGTTTTTACATTATGTAGCACATAAACCTCTCTTCCCTACCCTCATCTTTTTTGTCTGTCTGTCCTGGGAAGGGTGGAGATCATGAAAGGTGATGGGTTCAAAATCTGTTTCCAAATCCCAGCAAGCAAAGACTTTTATGAAGAGAAGAAGCATGCATGTTTAATTATTTCTTAAAGATGTATTGTCCCTTTTAATGGAGACAAAGACTTTAAACAAAAAATCAACATGTTAACACTGGTTACAGTAGATTAATGGAATCTGCTGTTGAAATTTCATTTCATTTAATTAAAGACATAATCCAGTGGGTACATTTTTCTGTGCTAAAACCTACCACAAAGAATGGGGGCTGAGAAATAATACATTCATTTTAATGGGGCTTTTCCAGGAAAATATCCCATGGGATTATGTCCTAAATTGTATGTAGAAACTCTTTCTATTATGTAGCAGCATAAAGGGGTCCCACCCCTGAAATACGTTAAAGTGCCCTTTTCTAAAATGTTTTCACCATCTGTAATATTTTACACTTCAAAAACATCAGGAAAAGTTTCTTCATTGTCAGAGCAATATGACAGTGTAACCATTTGCCTAGAGAGGTTGTGGGCTCTCCCACACTAAAGACAGTTGAAAGGAAACAGGACAGTCATCTGAGAGGAACGGTGTAAATTGGTGACCTGCAACAGCAGGGGTTTAGACCTGATGGCCTTCTTGGCCCCTTCCAACTCTACTATTCCATGATTCTATGATCATTTAAATTCATGTTCTGAATAGAATGGAGGAATTTCAGCCTCTTCATCTCAGACACTTCTGATGTTCATGGGTGGGTAAATGAAAAGGAATACTACATCTTTAAACAGTATTTTTACATTGCTTTTGTTTTTTTAAATAAAAGTTTTGAAATGTACCTGTGTACATAACTTTGTAAAGACACTGAGAAATTATACTAACTTATTTATGTTAAAAGAATTTTTTAATCTAGAAGATATTTTCCCATAAAGCCAAAGCGGCATGTGTTTTTGTGCATTTGTAAATGCTCTATTTGGTAGGGTTTTGTTTTTTAGTTGGGGGGATTTGTTTTAATTAATATGGCTGTGCTTAAATGATTGCAGACTGAGCCAAGTTTAATATTTTTTGTAATGTGTGAAAACAGTTGCCAATTGATATTGTTTTACATCAAGCAATCAATAAAGAAAACTGCCATATATAAATTTGTGTATTAAATGCCTTCTCAGTTGTGTGTTTTAAAAATCTTGGCACAGGATCAATGTTTGGCTACTTCCCAGGTATGTACACCAAGGATTTCTTCTTTTCTTCTGTGGTGAAGGGCATAGCTGGCTTGGTCCTTCACCCCCTGCCCTTAATCAGTACTAGTTGATAGATGGGCTTTCTGTTGGGAAGATATTGCAGGAGAAAGGGTTAACCTACATACTATATCACCAATTGTGCAGAGGCTTCTATCTGTACTTAGCCAGATGTCCTTACAAATTCTTAGACCTCTGTGCTCAACATGTGGAGGTGTGAACAGGAGATACATTCATGTACCCCCCATACTATAGAATCTGCTGTCCAAAGCAACTGCTAAGCATGAGGGGTGATTAAACAGGGCCTCCTGTCCTCTTGCTATGTACATAGCCCAGTGTCCTAACATTACTGGCAACCAGAAATTTATACCTGACAGGTCTTCCCTCTTGCCTAGGCTTACTCCATACTCTTTGTGCCAGGAGGAGGCTTACACAGGAATGAGGAGGTACACACAGCCTTTCCATATTTAACCATGTATGCACTTGGGCAGGTGCACTGTGGGAGGCGACAACAGGCCTATACTGGGGACCATCATGCATGACATTGTGTCACTGCTAGGACAGATTGTGCCCCTTCCTCCAGTGTTAAAGGCAGAAAAGCTAATGCAACTGTTTTGGGATTCGGGTGTTGCCAATGATTAAAAATTCTGCTTCTATACTTTTAACAGACTGACATGCAAAAAAAGCAGATAAAACTTTCCTGCCACTTTACTGAGATGGCCAACTCGCATGGTAGATGTTTGGCTTCATTTTTTTTTTTTTATTTTATTTTTCAATTTCTATCCTGCCTTTTTCCTACAAAGGGCTCAAGGCAGCTTACATCATTCTCCTCCTCCATCTTATCCTCACATCAACCCTGTGAGGTAGGTTGGGCTGAGAGTCTGTGACTGGCCTAAAGTCACCCAGTTGGCTCCATGGCTGAGCCGGGACTAGAACCCAGATCGTCTGAGTCCCAGTCCCATGCTCTTAACCACAAGACATCTAGCCTATCCAATGGCAGTTATGCAGAAAAATCAACCAGTTAATTGTATTCTGTGCTAATTCTTTGTGCATATGTATATGTGAGAAAGAGGGTCTACCATGTATGTACATGTATTCTCTCTCACTCTCCTGGTTACAAATGTCTTAGGACGACTCTACTTTTTAGTGTTTCATCAGCTACATTTTTGTATGCCAAGCTACGGCTAAGGCAGCAATTCCCAGATCTGTGATAGCTATGGGAGACATTTTTGTTTTCTTAACATCTTCAAAAATTAGAGTATTTGTAGGCATAAGTACTACTTGCCTGCAAAGCAGCCAACCCTCTGTAGTTTCTGTATGAATCACTATTCTGGGCATGTCACCTCTGAAGTCAGGTAATTGCTACATCTCTACATCAGAAGTGACTGAATTATGCTATCATGCCAGCAGAGAGGTGTGGCAAAATTCCTTGCTTTTCTTCCCACCCATGGCATCCAATTAGAATGAAGTAGGGCAAGAATAATGAATCATTCAGAGAGACATCAAATTGTTTTCTTGTAGGTTAGATATACAGGGTCTCTATGATTTATTTAGCATTCTGTCACTTTCCTCAAGAAACCCAACTTGGAAATAAGCATATTAAAAGTGTAAATATAGCAGTATTAAGAAGACATCCCATGACCTTTTCTTTCCAATTTAGCAAGTCAGGCCTACAGCTCTTGCTTAAATAATTCTGCCTGCAAAATTAACAACTTTCTACATTTTAATTGAATACACATCTGAAATCTTTTCTCACCCCAGCTTCTCCTCCTGAAGCACCCAACTGTACCCAATTCACCACAAAGAAGACTGAGAAGGAAGTGGAATTCTGACAGCATCAACATTTTGCACCTGCTTTTAAGTCCACTTTATTAAGAATAAAATTTTATTCTTCAAGTTTTCTATCTGGGAAGGTACATAATTCTATTTTAACATGTAACATTCTGATGAAGCAGCTCTTATATTTTGTTTCCTTTTTTGATCCAGAACTAAGAAAATTGCATCACCACAGGAAGAGGATACTGAACACACACAGAGAACAACATACATACATATAACCACCCAGAGGGTAGAGGTGAAACTAAGGTCTTTCTGAGAAAGAAAGCAAGCAAGCAAGCAAGCCTACTTTGGTCTGTTAATGATTTTTGCACTGTTGAAGCCATAAACCATACTCCTAAAAGTATTCCATAACCCATCAGTGGCTCTGCAGAATCAAAGCTCTTAATGCACAGCTTTTTTTTAGTATGAATGTTAGCGGTTTCACTGCTTCACTGCATAGAAAAGCATGGTCTAGAAGTAAAAAACTTTCTGAAATTATAAAACAAGCATGAAAAGGAACAGGCTGAGTTAGCATACATTCAAACATAGCATCCCATACCTAAGGTGGTGAGGCTTATTCCACCCCATGTCCCATTCACCTATAGACCTCACGAAGTTGGTTCATATTTCTAGCAGGCAATCATTGACTCACAGGCAGTATCAACTAAAAACTTTCATATCCCCACAAACACTATTTCAATGGAACCTGTTCACACAAGTCCTCATCAAGTGTAATGAAATGTATGGAGTAGTGATGGGGAGGATTATCATCCAACAGGCTGGAGAAAACGGAACATCACTCAATGTGTGGGAAAGAAGTTGATTTGTTCTGGGCACTGCTTGGACCCTGTCATAGCGTCCCTTCCCTATCTCCTGAAAATCTCCCTTCTCTTTCAGGTAGCAAGTGAAATATGAAGAGGGACTTTTCCCCTCTGACCCACAGACACGGCTAGGGTAAGGTGCTGGGACTCATTGTTTTCCCAGAAGTTGGCGGGGGGGGGGGGGGCTTCCTGAGGGAACCATTGCAAGCCTAGGCTGCTTTTCCAAGTCAAGAAATACCCGCTAGGGTAGCATTGCTACTCCTTCAGAAATATACTGGGATGGGACGAGAAAAGCACCCGACCATGTTCCTGGTGACATTGCTGAGAAAAAGCTGCAAACAAGGACTATCTTGGGACTTGTTGAGTGAGTGTAAGGAGAAGAAATCTGGGGTTAAAGGGTACAATGTGGTTAGCAACAGTTCCCCTTAACGAAACGAGAGAAAAGGCTTTTTATCCTGCCTTGTTCACGGAATGCTCGGGTGTGTGTTCAGAAATTGTTTTCCATTTGTCACCCTCTTTCGTTTTCCCAACTTTTCCTAGGTCGTCCTCCTGCAACAAAAGTATGTTACAGAGGGAAGCAGAATCACAGTGTCTTTGGACCGGCAGCTCTATGAAGCCGTCACGGTTCTCCAAGGATACTTCTCATCATGAAGGATGGGGAAAAAAAGTACTCGCCTCGATCTCTGAGACTACTCAAAGGTGGCGCGGCCAGGGAGACCTCCTTAGATGAGTTTGAAATGGTTTATCCCCCCCACCCCTTTTCTTCTTTTTGTAGACCGTAATGCAAGAATGGCAGGGGCTGCACACTTATGTGCAATGGAGAGTAAGCGCTATTGAACTCGGTAGCACTTACAGCTGAGTAAACATGCATACGATTAGGCTGAAAACCAAGAAAGGCGAGAGGGGAAAGTGAGGCTGCACTCCTAAGCATTTACCAGGGAGCAAGCAGCGTTGAAGTCAGAAGCGCTGACTTCCGAATAAATATGGACATGCCAAGCAGCTACACGGGATTCCTTTCTTTCTCTTCTTGGCGGGGGAGGGCTTTCTGCTGAGGCATTGCTTTCACCTGGGACCACGCCCTGTTTTTGTTTTTAAAGAGGGGAAGGCCGTAATTGCGTTTATTAAGCCATTTTCTCAGTTTCTGCAAGCGAAGGAACGGAGCTATCTTCCCCCCAAGCCGTTTTGCCGCGTGAATCAGCCAGAAAACCAAATGGGGCTTCCTATCCCGTTTTGCATCCCCGAGCAGAGAATGGAGGTAAAACGCAGGCAAGCCGTGTGCGCAAGGCCAAGAAACGAATATTCAAAAATTTGAAAAAAGGGGGCGGGTGGGCGCGAAGGGCCGCGCTGGGTAACCCTCTCCCCCACCCCCAGCGCTGAAGAAACAATCATGGCGCTTCGGCCGCGGCCGAGCTGCAGCCGCTGCCCCGCCCCCTCGCTGCACTCCGGCGCCGCGGAGCTCAGCTCGAGAAGTTCAGCACGCACCACCGGCTACGTGGCCCGCGCTTGCTCAGGAGTCGGAGCTGCTGGTGCTACTGGCTCTAAGCCCCAGCTGCAACCTCGCGAGCGCTTAACGGGGCTTACATCCAGATGGGAGCAGGCTTTCCTCAAGACTGTCTTCGGCAGGGCTCCCTCGGGCCGGATCCCTGGCAGGTTTACTTCGAAACAAATGCGGCTGTCACTCAGTGGCGCTCTGGTAACTGCATTCCTTCAAGTAAGCGCCCCGTACAATATACTCTCTCCCGTTTTCCCATGTTATTGAACTTTTTCTCAAAGCCCTCAACTCCCGGATGGGAAAGATTAATCAAAATTATGCTTTTTTCTCCATTTTATTTGTTTTACATGTTAACTCTAAGATCCAGTAAGTTCAGCGAGCTACGCCCAAGCATTTTAAGTCGGAAATAAGTTCTCATTGTACTTACTTCCACGTAAAAGCATGCACTGGCTGGGGCCCTCCAAGCTGATCCCACTAAATTTGAATGGCGCCTAAGAGTGCAATCGTTTGCACCTTCCCTTTACAACATCTACTGCTAATAAATGTACACAGAATTTGTCTTTATATTACAATCCTAGCCGTATTTATTTGTGAGCCTCTCTCAATTAACTGCAGCAGCCCACTCCCAGGTTTGGCAGCCACGGTAGTGATTGTGAACTGGATTGACGTCGACGAAACCAATGAATCCGCAGAACAGGGGAAAGCAGACGAGAGAGCACCAAGCAGCAGCCATAGGCGAAGTTCTTTTGTTTAAGGTGGATCCGTCCGCAAGTGGG